GAGACTGAGATGCAAGTACAGTGGATGCATGGAACAGACAGATAAAAGGACCTGTTGCAACAATGAGAAGTACAAGTTGTCATGTCCAAAACGAGCTTTACAACGTTGGTGCGGGGGGGGGGGGGGAGGGAAGGAGAAGGATTGGGATTAGGGGGGGAGGGGGGAGGCTGGGAAGGGATGTGAAGGGTAAACAAAGGAGGAGGCTGCAATGCTTGGTAAGAAATGTACGCATTATCCTGCCCATGTAACTGTAACTCCTCTGTACAGTATGTTCACAAATAAAATTAAATTAAATTAAAAAAAAAAAAAAAGGACCTCACATGTCTTGCTAGATCGAATGAATTTTCTTGTCAGGCCCAGACCTTCTGACAAAGAATAGTCCCCAAAAACCAAATTCAGGAAAACAAAACAAGTTAACTCACCGAAGGACAAGTGAAAGGAATGAACTCACCAAAGGTCTGGCAAGGAAAAATAGGGGTGAAGAAAAATCACCAACAGGCACAAACCAAAGAACAAAGTCACAGAAGATAAGAGTTTATACAGCAGACTGGTACCAGTTCCTGAAAATTCCAAAACTCTTTGCTGACATTTCAGCCTTAGAGAGGCTGTTGGAGGTACGGGGAGGAGGGTGTGACTACAAGTGATCCACTTCCACCATAGTCCAGATAGATGGATCTCCAGAATCAGAAGCAGAATCTTACTCATCTCTGCAGATCGGCTGAATGATTCCAAAAAGATTTAGTGGTGTGGGAGGCATCCAGAGTCTGGCTTTCTGAGCAGTGGAAAGTACATGGGGCCCTGGGATATCTCAAAAGTTATCTCCTGTGTGTAGTTTCTGTCAACCAGTGGCTTCAAGGAACCTAAGTAGCCCCTTGGCACTGGGCTTCTAAGTCTTATATGGTGAGATACAGAGAAGCCACGGTTTGAGGGGTCAAATCAGGAGTTTTTATTAGAAAGCCAGCAACTACAAGCAGACTCATTCCCCCCCCCCCCAAAAAAAAAAAAACTTGCCGTTTTGTAGCTAGCATAAAATTTATAAAGACAGCAACCACATCAGGGTAAATGTTGTATGGTATGGGGAATAATAAAGTGTGTTTACAGAAGAAAAACAGGTCAGTTAGGGAGTAAGGGAGCAGTTACAGCATGTTCAAGGTGGTTATAATAGTTATCTAGGGTAATAAACAGGAGTAAGTATTCCCCACAGCCTAACAATCCGTGATATACCCGAAGGTTTCAGAATGACCTATGCCTAATCTATAGTTCTTCAAAGTGAAAGTTCCCTATTACATACTAAGGTGTCAAGATGAAACTGAAGGATTGACTCCTGCCATATTTCCCCAGGTCAAGCAAAACACCAGGTGGGCACTCATGTGCCCATCTGCAAGCAGGCCACTCCAACCTTGGCTTAGCTGAAAGCCCACTTACCCTAGGCAGAGCATTCCATTCTGAGTCTGTCCAAGTCTTGACCCCCAAGAGACCATAGCCTACAGTTTGTCCTTGGTCTCCAACCCAAGCAGTATCCATTCCAGGCCTGGCCAATGACACTGCCCTGAACACCCAAGAGACCATAATCTTATTTTTTTTTTTGGCTTCTTTGTTAAGACCCATATAACCAAACCCCAAATCCACACAATCACTGGAAGATCTATGCTTCTCAATGGCAACAAACAGTTTTAGCCTGTTGAGAATCCACTCTAATCCTTTTTCATTCTCCTTCATTTTCCTAACAGTAAAGAGGACAAGATGGCATTACTTAGGCCTAGTAACCATATTTCATGATAAGCATTTTTTTTGCCAGGAGGAGCCATTTTTCCAAGTGTTTCCTTCTCCAGGATACGTCTCTTTTCTATGATGCCCATTCTCAGCTTTTAGAGCACACCAATTGGGGACAGCAGGCAAGGTCATATGTAGAAAGAAGCTCTTGTTCTTTTGTTTCCCCTGGTGTAAAAACTACACCTGATTAAGGAGCACAAGGTTTAAAACAACGGAGATAGTGCTATCTTTCTAAATACCCTGTTTCTAAATCCCTGGCTGCCGCTCACCTTATCTTTCCTAGTTTATCCTCCCTCAGTTAAATTAAGAGTTAAATTGGAGAGATTGCATAATAATTACTTTACACAGACTTGTGAATTTTTTGCCCTGAACCAGACTTTAAAGATATTAAAAGAAAAAAGGGAACAATGTATATGGACTATAAATATGCTTTCAATGTGATATATATCTTTGGGAAATGTGGGCTGAGAGATTAATTTAAACAGTGCTTATTCTCTTGATGAAATTATGATAGTTCATGTTTCAGCTTATCAATGAGAAGAGTCTGTTAAAAGATTGGTAAATCAACCTTGGATTGTGCAAGAAATCTCCAGTGGGTTTGTGTTAAGTGTAACAGATTTTCACAAGAGATTGAGTGCAGAGAAACAGGGTAATATTTGCCTGAAGCTGCCACCGCATGCCACATGGCTAGCTCTTGCCTTTATGTCTCTGATAGAAGCTCCACTACAGAACATAGGCCAGAGCCATTGGGAGACACAGCTATGTGAGATATTATCAGAACATATGTGTGCCTAGGGATTTTAGGCCTTAAAGGATCATCTCAGGGAAGGTAAACCCAGGATTCAAATCGATGGTCTTCCTTATCTGTACTGGTCTTTTGGTCTCTCTCAATTCCTCTAAAAACATGTGTTCAGTATTTCCTCAGCCTTCTCATCCCTCAAGGCAACAAGGACTGCTGACTCCACATCTTGAGTTCCCAAATACTAAGGTAAGCCTAAAGATTGCATCCTGATCAAGAGTTAAAAGAAGATGAAATTCCAGCTGATCTAGTGCTATTCACTGATAAGATACTTCATACCACAGAAAAGGATGGATTTACTACACTTGGGTAACCAGAGCTCCTGAGGGAAGACAGTGGTCTGTGCCTTCTAGATCTGGAGGTAAGAAATTACTTTTAAAAGCTTGAAATGGGGATTTGACACCTGGTTAAAAAGTTACTTGCTCTCTGTGATGACAGAGAGACAGAGGAATTTAAAACAGCATTCTCTTGGAGATAAAGCCCCAGAAGGAGAGTATCTGCCCTGCTATGGTTAAGACTGATGTGGAATGTTCAACTGGAAATATTCATTAAAATTGTTATATGGGAATTGGTTCATGAGAAACAGAGAAGCCAGACTTTGAGAGCTCAAACTGAGAATCTTTAATAGAAAGCAAGTGACTGTAGAAGGACTTGTGTCTCAAAGACCTGCAGACTATAATGTATCTTGCACAAAGCTTGTAAAGACAAAAAAATCACGTTTGGGGTAAAGACCCAACCCAACAAAAACAAACCATCTAGGGGAGCAATCAGGATTGAGCATTATATGTAGCAGAGCTCTCTTGGGACCAAACAGCATGACACCAATGCATATTCCCAGAATGGCCTGTTTTCCCTCTAGGCTTTACAGAGCTGGGTAAAAAGCCTCCACCACCCATCCAGACTCCATGATGACAATGAGGACAAGACAATGTTACTTAGACCTAATATCCCTATTTCATTATAAAACAAGGGTAAATATAGAAGTTTAGGAAAACAACATGTGGCTGCCCTGGCTCCATAACCAGCAGACTGCAGAATGCAAACACAGAATACTCCCACAACGCCATACCCAGAAGAGACCAGAGGCGAGGCACCACAATACCCATACCCAGAGAGCTCCCCTGTCACCATGGCTCAGCCCACAACTAAAACAGTAGAGCTGCAGGAGCGGCTCCATGTCTGTCCAGCATATGGGAGCCAACCTGAGAGTTCCTCGCAAAGACACAGAGATCTGCCACAGCACTGCTGGTCACCCTCACAACCAGTTCCCTGCTGGGATGAAGCCCTCCCCTCCCACAGGTGATCAGAGCTGGTGGTGACCCACAGATCTTTACACGGACCCCTCTCCCTCCAACCCATGAAGGAAAATTACACTTGAAGATGTCAAAGAGGTCTGAGCCCTTCCTCACTGCCCACATCCCACATGTTGGATTCCAGCAGGAGGTCACAGGGACTCACACGTGCTGGGCGCCAAGACTCGGTGTCCTCAACAGCCCTGGCTATCAGCGGATAACAATACTGGTCTGAAAACAAATGTCCCCGCACCCACAGAGCGTCTCCCTTCAGGAAACATGAAATGCTTCTGCATGGCAGCTGCAGGAGAAGCATTTCATCAGTTGCAGTCGCTAAGTGAACATGAGTGCCAGCTACAGGAGAAGCAACCCCCTATCATGAGCACCTGCTGGTGCTGGTAGAGCACTCCCCCATCAGAAGCCCAAACTCATGCGTGCACAGGCCCCTACCAGAAGCCCAGGAATCGCACTGTGGCTGCTAGCAGAGAGTTCCCCTCTAGGGTGCCTGCCTCTCCACAAACGTCATGCCTGTCTCCAGCAGACATTTCCAATGGAACAGCTTCTGGTAGATCTCATCTTCAGATACATCAAGCATGCACATGTGCCCACCAGCCATAGGAGGCCAAGTATAGACCACATGTGGGGACAGACCCAAGCCAGGGCCAAGGCATAAACAAATCCTGTGCCCATGTGGGGAACCCAACCCTCCCAAAGCCCTAATTCTAACCTTGCCAGCCCCCACTGCAGATGGGACCAAGCTCCTCTCATCCAGCCAGAGACAGCGCACGCACATGTGATTGTTGGCCCAGTGACACGGCATGGGCTGTCCTACCCAGTGTCAACTAGCCCGGGGCAAGTGAGGGCTGTCACATCATTCTGGTGTGAGCAGGCCAAGCTCAGGCCACGATCCCCACAATCCCAGGACCCAAATTTGTAAATCACAGTGAAAGAAGACATGATTCATGGACTATCAGGACAACAATCCAATCCCAAATCTAACAACAACCCAGGGAAGGACCCCAGTGAAATTGAAGAAGAGATGGAGGACAAAAGAACCATTAAAGAAATGATGATGGAATTGGCCAAAGAAATAAAAGGGGAAATGTGAAAGTATCAATAGGAGAAAGAAGACATGAATATTTACCTGGCAGGGGAGATACCATGATCACCAAGGTGGTTTTCCCAGGGCGAGGATTATCCATTGCACTCCAGATGTGCTGAGCCCTGTGATTTCCCCAAATGTGGGAAACTCAATTGCATAATTTGCAATAGTGGGGAATGACATTCATGCTCTTCCCTGGTAAAAAATTTAAAAAAAAGAAAAAGAAAAAGAAAGAACACATGACAAAGGAAATCCAAGATTTCTTAAGCCAGGCACCAATAGATCATGCCTGCAATCCTAGTTACTCAAGAGGCTACGATATGAGGATCATGGTTCAAAGCCAGCCCGGGCAGGAAGTCTTTGAAAATTTATCTCCAAAAAACCACCAGAAAACCGGAAGTGGTGCTGTAGCTCAAGTAGTAGAGCGCTCGCCATGAGCTGAACAGCTGAGAGAAAGCACTCAGGCCCAGAGTTCAAGCCCCACAACCGACAAAGAAAATTTAAAAAAAACACAGTAAACCCTTCATTAACACATGAAATTAATACTTGGAGAACTGATATTAATAGCATAAAAGGCCCATTTTCCACAATGCAAACACCAGTGGAAGCCATAGTTAATAGAATAAGTGAAATGGATAAAAGCATATCAGGAGTCAAGAATAAATCAGAAAAACTGGAACAGAAGGCAGACGTTATGTCGAAAAACGAATTTTTTACAACTTTGGCGTGGGGTGGGGGGATGGAGAGGAGTAGGGATGGGAAGGGGAAACAAAGGAGGAGGCAACAATGCTTGATAAGAAATGTACTCACTATCTTGCCCATGTAATTGTAACCCCTCTGTATGGTATTTTCACAATTAAAAAAAAAACACTTAGAACATTCCAAAGGGAAATCCAAGATTTGGCCAAAGCAGCCAAGAAATCAAATCTATGCATAATTAGAATCAACGAGGGAGCATAATTTAATAGAGGCATGGAAAACCTATTTGGTATAATAACAGAGTAATTCCCCATCATAAGAGAGAAAATCTCACCCACTAACAGAAGCATATAGAAGTCTTGAACATCAAACTGGCATTGCAAACAATTCTAAAAGGAGGAATACAATCTGAAAACAAACAAACAAACAAACAAAATGAAAGAAACATATCAGACAGAAACCAACACAAGACAAGTTTAGTAAGCATGGGAAAAGAAAAGAAACAAAATACAGGAAAATAAGTAAATGGCAAGAAAATTGACACATTTCTATAATAACCCTAAATATTAACAGACTCAATTCCCCAACGAATGAAAAAGAAAAGCAGATTGGATTAAAAGTAAAAGATCTATTCATTTGTTTTTTGCTAAGAGACCAATCTCACAGCCAAAGATAAAAACCAACTGTGAGCAAAGCGTTGGAAAGAGATCTTCCATTCAAATGTACCCTGCAAGAAAACAGGAGTAGCCATATTACTATCTGAAAGTAGACTTACTAAAATAAATACAGAGACAAGTAAGAACATTAAATACCAATAAAGGGATTGATGCATGAAGAGGAATTCAGAGTGGTCAATATCTATGCACCAAGCAATAGAGTGCTTAAACAGGTTAAACAAATACTCTCAGCCTTACAGAACAAAATAGACTCAAATGCAATAATATTGGGAGATTTTAACACCTTACTCTCCTCAGGGGACACATCAACCAAACAAATATAAACAAAGAAGCCTCTGAACTAAATGACACCATAATAAAAATGGACTTAACAGACATCTAGTTTTCTACCCAACAATGACCTAATACACCTTCTTCTCAGCAGCCTATGGAACATTCTCAAACATAGATCACACATGCAAAGAACCTAAGCAAATACAAGGAGATTGGCATAAATCTTACCATTATATCCAAACACAGTGGAATCAATGAAATTATTAAGAGCAAATCATACTTTAGAAATTACTCAAAAACATGGAGATTGAACAGCACACTACTGACTAACACCCAGGTCACAGAAAAAATTCAGGAAGAAATAATAATATTCTTACAACTCAATGAAAATGTAAACACATCACAATGGAACCTCTGGGATAGAACAAAGACAATGCTGATTAGAAAGGTCATAGCACTAATTGTACATATGAAAAAAATTGAAACATTAAAGTAAATAACCTCCTGGTGCAATTGTAACTGTTAGAAAAACAAGAAAAACTCAAATCTAAAGTGACTAACTGAAGATACGTAGCAAAAATTAGGGCAGAATTCAACAAAACAGAAACAAAAAAAAAACTATCCATAAAAGTCAATGAAACAAGTACTGGGAAGGTGGCTCAGTGGTAGAGCACTTGCCTTGCATGCTTGAGGCCCTGTGTTTGATTCCTCAGCACCACATAAACAGAAAAAAAGCCAGAAGTGGCACTGTGGCTCGTGGTAGAGTGCTAGCCTTGAGCTGAAGATTTGAGGGACAGCACCCAGGCCCGGAGTTCAGGACTCATGACCAGACCCAAAAAGAAAAAAATCAATGAAACAAAAAGCTGGGGATATTTTGGAAAACAAATTAATAAAATTGACAGACTAATTGTGAGATTAATGATAAAAAGAAGAGAGGAAATTTATATAAACAAGATAAGAGAAACCACAGGTAATATTATGACAAACACCCAAGAAATCCAAATAATTATAAAGTACTACACTCAAAATCTACACTCACTAAAGAAGGAAAACCGAGCAGAATTTCTAGAAACATACTAACTGCCTAAACTGAACCAACTAAACAACTAAACAAACAAATAGCATACAAGGAGATAGATGAAGTAATCAGAAGTCTTCCAACAAGGAAAAGCGGAGGCTCAATGGACTAACCACTGCATTCTGTGAGACTTTTAAAGATGAACTAATATCAATACTCCATAAGCTTTTCCAGGAAATAGAAGTACAGGGATTAATCACAAACTAATTCTATGAAGGCAATATCATACTCATCCTAAAATCAGGTAAGGCTCTGAAAAAAAAAGAGACAACAATTGAATAATTTCTCTGATGAACACTAATGCAGATCTCCTCAATAGAATATTAGCCAAAAAAATCTAGAAACTGCTAAAAAAAAACCTTACATTATGACCAAGTAGCCTTCATCTCAAAGATGAAAGCTGATTTTGTTAGTATTATCCTCACATTTGTTCCTCAGCACCACCCATACCTAAGCACCGCCCTGCCCTGGAGTTCTGGCCAAACAGCTGGCCACTCCCTCTCTCTGTCCAGATTCACCTGAGCATGCGCCTACCTCACTTCCTGCCCCCAGACAATCCAGCTACCTGGAGTGGAACTAATGCCTTGTGCTTCCTCTCCTTGGAAATATGCCCCCTTTAATAACCTTATAATAATCTTTCTCCTGTGTCTGCTTGCCTCCAGCTTCCACATTCTCCCCTGGGATGGATATGAGGGATTCCTTTCAGATTTAACATAGCTAAATCAATAAATGTAATTCATCACATCAACAGAGCCATGGTCAAGAACTGCATGATCATCTCAATAGCTCAAAGGAACAGATTAGAAGATGCAGCCATCAAACCACATATTTATAGTCATATTCAACAAAGGAGCCAAAGGCAAACAGTTAAAAAAAAATAGCCTTTTACTGGTGTTGGGAAAACTTGACAGACATATGCAGAAAACTAAAAGTGAATCCCTACTTGTCACCACACACTAACAACAATTCAAAGTGGATTACATCAGACCCAAATCTCTAAAGTACTGTAAAAGAAGGGAAAACGGCTTGAGAACTCATAGGTACAGACATGCAGGAACTTCCTGAATAGAGTCCCAGGGGCACAATGGATAGGAAAGAGACTCAACAAATGGGACTATATTGAAAAAAAGGTTTCTGACCAGCTAAGGACATAGCTAATAATCTAGAAAGACAGCCAACCAATTGGGAAAACATTATTACCAGCAATATATCAAAGGCCTACTACCCAACAAATACAATTTGCTCAAGAAATAACCCCTCCCAAAACTAATAAACAAATCACTAAATGGGCAATGGAGTTAAGGAGAGACGTCTCAGAAGGGGTGAGTGTGGCAAAAAAAAAAAAAAAAAAAAAACACATGAGGAAATATTCATCATCCCTGGTCATAAAGGAAATACAATTCAAAAGAACCCTAAGATATCATCTTACCCCAGTTAGACTGGCGAATACTTTGAACTCTGACCACAACAAATGCTAGCAGGGAGATAGAGAAGGAACCCTACTTCACTGTTGATGGGAATGTAGATTAATACAACCACTGTGGAAAGCATTCAGTAGGTTCCCCAAAATCTCAACACAGACCTTCTGTATGACCCAGCCACACTATTCCTATGCATCTACCCTAAGCATCATGAACCCCAATATGATAAATTCTCCTGTACTTCCATGTTCATTGCCACACTATTCAAAAAAGCCAGTATACGGAAACAACGCAGATGCCCCCAAATAGACGAATGGATGCAAAAAAATGTGGTAGCTCTATGCAATGGAATTTTACACAGCCTCATTCATCAGGAATGGCGTGGAACTAGAACAAATCATATTAAGTGAAGAAAGCCAAAATCAGAGAGAGAAATGCCACATATTCTCCGTGATATATGAAAGTTAGATTTATAACAGAATGGGGGGCTGGGAAGGTGTCCCAGTTGTAGAGTGCTTGCCTTGCATGCATGAGGCCCTGGGTTCCATTCCTCAGCACCACATAAGCAAAAAGAAAAAAGCCGGAATTGGAGCTGTGGCTGTACTGGTAGAACGCTAGCCTTGAGCTGAAGAGCTGAGGGACAGTGCCCAAGCCCAGAGTTCAGGCCCCACAACTGTACCCCCCCCCAAAAAAAAAAAAACAAAAGCAGAATGGGACATGACAAATGATACAGGATTCTAGACACTCAAATATAGGGAGCCTAAAAGAGGATAGTCTTAGGAGAAAATCATGATGTTGTAAGTTTCTTAATATATTTACACATATATGTGTGTGTGGGGGGGGGCCATGTCATTACTGTTCAACTTTCCGTTAAAGTTCATCTAGTGTGTTGAGTTACCTTTCTGTTCTTTCTTTATTCTGACTCCCTCATAACTAAGTTTCCTAAAAATAACTGTTGAAAATGGGTCTGGTCAAACAAATGCCTGGTTGCAATGTATAAAATATTCTAATTACCCTTTAAATACAGGTAGGGCAAGAACTCATATTGTC